TATATTTCAAGTCTGGTGAATCTTTTTTTCAAATCTCACTGGTTCATATCTGATATTTCGCTAATATCTCAACATCACTGAACAAAAGTTTTCAGTGATTTTGATCTATTCGAAATTGAATAGTTTCTATGAATTGAAAAGATTATTAATAAAATAATAAATAAATTTCCAATCCAATATAGAATGCATTCAATATCTGCATTAAATCAGTCCTAGAGAATCTCGAAATTCGATGTTTTTTTGAAAAAAAAATAATTTTTTTCAATCATTGGATCATTTTTTGAATTAAATGAATGGATTGAAGACAAGCATTATCAAATATGAAATATCACATTTAACTAAATTTTACAAAAAATAGAAATGAAGCATACGGAAGGAAATGACGATGGTCTCTCGAGCCCATCATCAGAATTCCATGGTACATTTGATTCTGATGCAACCAATAGTACCACTGTTGATACCGTTAGCAGAGAAGTCGAAATTGTTGAATGGACCATCTCAAAATTACTTTCAGTGAATTACTTTCAATGAATTACCTTCAATTTTTAGATACCTTTTATAGGTTATTTTCCTCTATAGTACTATATTAATACTTTCATTTCATATTAATCATTCTCTCACCTTTTCCATTAGTCAATACAGTAAATGTAACTTTAGGAAAGTTCAATCTCTTTCCAACCTCTTCTTTTCCATTTCTAACTCCCTCTCTCTCTCTCCCATCCTATCTACCATCACGTCTTTTCACAATGATTGGCCCGAATAAAACTCAACTGGTTTTCAGGCATTCTTTGTCTCGTCATCATCAGGCATATACCACTTCAAACTTTATTGTTAACTTATTCATTTCATACACATTTTTTTTTTCACTCAAATGTCTCACAAAAACTGCACAACAGCAAGAATAATCCTTCAAAAAATTTAATCGAGCAAATTTTTTAGTGTGTAAGAAAAAGAAATACACAAATCTATGTTTGTTCTTTTTTCCTTGATTGCACGACCAGAAAAGTCCTCAAAAAGTCACGCACTTTTTGACATTTTTTTTCGACTGAAAAACAACTGAAATTATTGTTTGAAATTTTTACAAGCATATTATTGACAAAGTTTTTTCGAGCATCACTAAATCCAATTTTGCCAAGGAATATCATTATTAAGTTAACTTCCAATTAGTATTTAAGAATTGTTTTTTATCATTTTCTTAGCTCTAATTTTGACGATTCGCTTTCACTGCTGCACTATATTAGATTCAAATTTCAGCAAATTATCATGATTTTAATTTTAATTATACAACCTCACATTTGAAATTTAAACATTTTCAGAGGGAAAATTACTTATTTTGAAATTGCGAAGTTTTCCAACAAAAAAAAGTTCTGCCATTCCTCATCTTGCAAAATTTATCATTACTTAAAAAGAAAACAGAATAATTGTTTACCTACATAAACAAGTCGGAAGTACGACAACCAACATTCAACCAGATAGCATCCAGATCAAATGTGTTACTTATGCTATTCCAGACAGTTAATTTTTTCATCCAAATATATGATTCAGTTTTCTTTCAAATTTTTTTATAAATACGAGGCAAGAAAATATATCAAATTAAAATGGGAAAAGCGATTGATTGTTGGACAAATTATCGAAATTGATAACTATTTCACTGAATGCGAGAATTCTCATATGTTTGAAAACGATCAATCGTTTTGCTGTTCTTTTTCTGAATAAATAAGTTGAAATTATCTTTCCTTCAGCTGTTCAATTTCTCAAGAATACATTTGGACAAATACTAAGTGTTGAAACATAATTCATTTATTTAACATCATTTCTGAAAAAAAAAAATTTGTTGGAGCTGCACCGTTTTATACAAAAATATTCACATTTCGTTTACCACAATTAAAACCGGAAACTGCATAGTTTAGAAGATTATGATTCTCATTCGGAAAATTAAGTAACGAGGTGCTGTCTGCTGCTCTTCATACCAATCAAAAAAAAACATAAATGAGAAACAATTTAATGAAAACATAAATAATTTGCCACTAAGATGCAATGCATCAATAACTGATTTACTAACAAATACTTTCGCAACAATGCTACATCATTTTCAAGTTTCTAGAATTTCTGAAAAACGGATTCTGAACCTCTTCTTTAAAGATCCAATAAATTCCGCAACAATACTGTAACCCGAATTTTCAGAAAATTTTAGACAAATTAAAGAAAAAAAAAAGTAAATTAAACAATCAATGTGAAAATTCTCACAGTTTGAAAACGATCAATCATTCAGCAAGTGAAAGTCAACAAAAAAGTTTGAAATTTCCACAATTCAACCACAATCTAAACTTTCTCTAAGAGAATTAAGCACAAGGATCGGAAGAACAGATATATGCAGTAATAGAACGACTCGATCCATGCAAAGTTTTGCAAAAAATGTCATGCATCAGTTCGAAATCACATCTTTTGTTGTTCCAATTCATGTCACACACTGTTCCTCACATATTTTTGAAAGACAATTTTCGGCTTTTTATGCACTTACTAATCATTCCCACCCGAGTAGTTTCCTCGTTTTTGGATCATCCAGGCTAAGCAGCTCTGCTTTCCGAGCTTCCAAAATCTCGTCCGGTATATACCTGATATCTTCATCCGCTTGTTCCTGTTTCTTGATTTTTATCGTAATACCAATAGGTGCATGAGCCTACAGACAAAAAAAACAATAAAGATGGAGATACTAAAAAAGTGAGTCATGAAAAACATTCAATCAAATGAGATAATAGATTACCAAAAATTATATTAATCAGAATCGAAACAAAGGGTAGCAAAAATTGAGGATGCAATTCTGGCTGGCGACAAATTTAATAAGCAAGTAATTCTGATCGCCATTTTTCAGACATTCCTGATGCAATATACAAGCATCCGAAAGGGAAATAGACTAACTTTTAAATGAAAATACATTTCTAAAGACAAAAAAAGATCTTTCCGTTCTTAAATGACTGAAGTCACTTTCTTCTTGATAAATAATAATTCCAAAACTTATTAGCTATCGACATGTTTGCTTCTTATACTGAGAGGAATTATAATTCTATTAACGATTCCAATGTGCCAAAAATCGTTAAGTATAATTATACTCCGTTTTTAGAGCTACGCATATCTAGCACATTAATTTCCACAGTGAAGTAATTTATATTTCAATTTTTGAAAAGATATGACAGATATTTACTTTACTATACTTTACATGATGACCTTTTATAAGAATAAGTTATTGTAACTCATCAAGTCCAATGAAAGATATGAAAATAAAGTACTCAATGAAAATGTGTTACTCAAACAAGTATAAGAATGTACAAAACTAGAAATTACAGAAAAATGAACCTGCATGAGATGAAAATACAATGAGAGACGAACACATGGCACCTCGCTCAATCTCAGAAACCTATGATACGTTGACAGTATTATTTTTTTTTCTTGCTTCCTTTGGTCAGATTTCTCCGGCATCAGTAGAATTTTCGTAGGAGGAATTGCGTAACTGAAAAACACTGAAAGTCATGTTGACTTGAATTAAATTTTAATTTCAAAAGATTAGAAATTAATGTTGGAATTTAAGCAAAAATATAGAATATAAAAGATTAGAAACATTCATTTGACGTAGATTAATGACAACTAAGCAGGAAAAAGTGAAGGAGTAAAAAGAAGTAAAAAAAAAACCCAACTAACTGAAGGAGTAAAAAGATAGGTTCCTATCGCTTAGTTGTGCCACGAACAAGGTACGCTACGTGCTAAATCTCCGGACAGTCTCTGCCTTTATCGGTAAGATTTTGATGGAATTTTCTGTTCTGTAATTGGAACTAACATAAAACCATACCTATCGATCACTTTGAATTCAAATTGCAATGCCTTTTTGTGCGCGTAACTGTGAAACCTTTCAAGTGGTACAAAATCCATCGAATCCAACTGAAGATTAAGTAATGGATATTCCGGATAAAGTTTGGTATTCTTAATCAATGGTTCATACAATTGCCACGGATCAATTTTCTTGACTTTTGCCCTGAGAGATATTTCTCGGATATGTTGTATCGCTGTAATTCCAACAGTCCACTGTGGTTTGAGCAGTTTCATGAATAAATCTACAAAATACCAGCAGAATACGTTATTATTGCTGATGCTAGTCAAAATCTTTGAGAAACAATGAGTTAGCCTGAGAATAACCATATAAGAGAGAACACCTTGATATAGTACCATCGCGGGTTTCTCATTCCAAGGCGGAGTGAATTTATATAAGTTGAAAAAAAAAAAAAACCACCCAACGGTAATTCAGATCGCTTTAAAATTAATTAGGAAAAACAATTAGCAGCAATTCAAAAATTTTTGTATTAATAAGAAATTTTCATTTCACTGACATATCAAATATCGAAGACGAATCGATTTAAAATAAAATAATATGAAAAGAGATCAGGTTTACCAACATCTCATATCAATACAACATACACTCCTTATCCTGTTAATTACTTCAAATTTAATCAATCCAAACATAGTTGTCACACATTAGAAAGGCTTCTAACCTTTAACCCCAAACTTATTTTATCATATCAAACCGTTGGTTTGCAACATAGTTCTTATCTACACGTAATTTCTTTCAATTCTTGGCTAATTCACTTATTCTTGCATCGTTATATATCATTTCTCATTGTTCAAATTATTCGACCTACTCTTTTTCCAGAAAATAACGCCACATCGAGAACTCTCAGAGAACTCTAACACAAAAAAAACCAATAACTCCATGGAATTTCAAAAGTTAAACAACTAATTGCTGGTGTTAGCACTCTCTTTGAAGAGAAGCAGAGAATAACTCAAAAGAGCGAGGCAACATATGATAGGAAAAACATCGAAAGCGTGTGTGTATTAGAACTCAAACCACTCAATGTCATCTGCACTATAACCTAAAGAATTGAGAAGGAATAACCCAATCGGGTTTTGCCCTCGAACAACTGTTCTTGGGATCCCTCGCTTTGCAGATTTTTCTGCTTAGCGGGTCGATTTTTTTGGACCGCGTCCCCGGGGTTATCCGGGAGCGCATAACTGTTACGCTTATTGGTTACTGCTTGCAGGGGCGTTTTATTGACCCTACTGCACTTGTCAAATCGTCCCATGAACTCATTGCGTGGGGATAATTCGAGCATAATTCGACTTTCGCTTAATTAAAACTGGAGATGTTAAATAAGACTGTAAATTATTTAAAAATATGATTTATTCTCTGAAAAAAAAAAACATTATGTGTAAGTGGCAATTTATTTGATAGCAATGAGAATGCGAGGGAGAATTTGTCTTGGATGTTTGATTCAATTTAAATATCAAATTAATCGTGCTGTCGACTTTTTCGGTCTTAATTCACTTTCAAATAGGAGACATTTATTTTCAAATGAAATCAAAATGCATCCCGATTACAATAGTAAGCACCTGAAGCACTCGACATAATATATCACTGTGTAAATTATATTAACATCGATTCAGTACCAGAATGACTGACGCGATGATGATTGATTAACAGACTGTGGGTACAGTCCACCGCCTTTTGTGGGGTATGGTGTTGTTGTTTTGAAATTTGAACTCGGTTGCTGTGGATATTGTTGCTGCCGTAGAATCGCCAATAACTTGTCGGATTTGATTTTTCTGTGCGATAAACAAAATAACGAACTTATCTTGTAGCAGCATTTTAAATGAATTAATATGCAAAATTAGTCTAACTAATCATTTTGTCAATCGTTAACTGATAGGTCCAAAATTTCTTTTAAGGAATGAAATAAAGTTACAATTCTTTTAAATGAGGTTAAGATTTCTTTTTCTATAACGCTCACTTTAGGGATATGAAATTACTTCAGAAAAAAAAATTACTAACAGAATAAAGCATACAAAAAATGAACCTCATATGAGCAAGAGTCTTCTTCTCAATGAATTCTTTCAAGAATTGATCAACTTCCATTTCACCGCTTAAATATCGATCGGCTATCGCCTGAAATAAAGATCTCAAAAATAATATTAAAAAAATAGTCACATGAAAAAATTAAAAAAAGGAAAAGAGTGAAAAAAGAACAAAAGAATAAAATGAAAAAAAAGTAAAGAAAAAGTAAAAAAGAAAAAAATAGGATGATGATTCAGATTATATACCGCTCATCTCCTAACAGAAAAATGGAGAAAAGCCTGTTTACCAATGGTACAAAAGAAATATTTTCCCATCGATCATAGTTGCCTTCACAACGTTTAATAAATCTAAATTATTTATGCATGATAACTAAATTGTCACAAAATCGAATTTTATGAATGGAAATTTAAGTGCAAAGGTTAGAAGCTGTAAAGGCTTTCTAACATACATTATGAAATATCGCATAGTATCCTCCTACACAGAAAATCAATTTTCAGAAAAATTAAACGATATGATAATATAGTATTTTAATTTAGCATTTAAAAAATTTAAATTTTTCGAAAAATAAATATTTCATATAAAGTAAGACAGGTTCAACGCAGTTCCGCTACTGAATATGAATGAATAGCGACAAGAACTCAACAACGAACAGGTAATTACGGTTCTAGGCAACAATTAATTCCCATACTTTTGCACAAATGATTAATTTGCGGTTTAATGACCGTTATATAAATTTCATGCAAACTGCTTAACTTACTTCGCTTTCGTCATCAGCAGACTGTGCAGCAGCTTGTAGAAGTGCACTAGATGTGTCCAACGACCTTTCTTCCGACAACGAATCTGAAAGTGAAATTATTCTTTATTATACCTATGATTTCCTTCTCTAATAGGCACTCTATACATTAAGAGATTAAAAAGCGTTTCAATTATTTAAATGTTATTACTGTCAACGAAGTTCACCACTCCAGTCTGTGCCACTTTTATCAAATGATAGTTGTTACATTACCGACAATATAGGGAATGTCAAAACTTGCATGAAAGTTAGTTACTTTTGAAACAAAAGACTGAAAACTGCCGAGAACTTACTCAATTTTTCTTTAAGCTCCATTACTTCCTCCTTAACTTTGACAGCTTCTTCATAAGTAGTTCGTAATTGCCTTTTAGCTTCTTCAATCTTAGGTTCTTGTGATAAATTCCATTCCGCAAGTGATTTATTCTGTACAAGGCCCATTTCACGTTCGGTAGGCAATGTTCGGACCTGAAAAATTGGTGACAATGGATTATAAAGTCGTACCAACATCAGTTCGATCGGAAATTTTAGCAAATACATAAATAAAAGTAAGCGATAAATTAAGAAAAAAAACCTGTGATATGTTATCAATGATATCGTCAATTTTCTTATCAGCATCATTATTCAACAGTTCTCCAATTTGATCGTAATTCATATTCCTAACTGAAGTCATCGCAGCTGAGACGCAAACACCTAGCAGAGATTCATACGAAGCGTCCACCATTACGTTCCACCTATAATTTACTGCAAAAGCATCAATCAACTGATTTGTTCAATTCCTAACAAAAAAAAATAGCAATAACAAAACGCTCAATCACAGTTAAATGCGGTAAGTGATGAAAATAATAAAATTCTTACTAACAATTTAAAAAACTTAATAATCAGCTTTAATAACCATAAAATTTAACAACCAATTTGAAAATTTCAAAGCACAGAAGTTATATATGACATCGATGGACTTCTGAATTTCACCTCTTCCGAATATTGTTCGATATTCTTCAGCTTTGGAAATTGAACATTACATTCAACAAAGTTAAACTACTAGTCATTGTAATGCAGCGAGAGACGTATTCGTTTCATTGTAATCTCCATTGAGGAATGATAATTTAAATTATAGTTATGTACCGAAAATTGGTTCAGATTAAAGAACAGTATGCTAAAATAAGAGTAAAACTGAACAAATATGTGCTCATTAGAGATAAAAAGAAAAATAGGTTATATTTTTTGAAACAAAAATGGATAAATAATTAGCTTTTTAGCTATTCGTGTTAAAACCTATCTCGGACTAAGCAGTCTATGCAATATTTGTGTCTCAAACTATCTATTGTTAAACTAATGATTTAGGTGAAATTATTTCTTTAATCAAAAATTCGGATTTTGTATTTTGTAGATTTTACTTTTCTTTAAGATTATATTTATATTATTATAGATGCGGAATCTTAAAATTCGATCAGCTGTAGTGCGTGATACATTGTTATCAAGTGAGGTGCAGCAGAATGAAGCATTCTCATCGTTGCTCTCATCCTGTGGTAATTTTAAATAATTAAAATTACAGAATAAATGAGCTAAATTTTGCTACGCTTTTTTTTTTGTTATCTAACTTACAAATAACTAAACTTAAGCAATGTATTCACATATGTATGCAGTGGAAAATTCTTACAATTTTCTCACCAAGTTCTGCGTTACGAAGTACAAATGTTTCAATTTCAGAAATTGAAGCAGTATGTGTTAGTGTTGAAGATAGGATTTTTTGTGCCTGCCCTGCTGGAATATGTGAATTATCATCCCAAGCACTAGTAAGCTTGTTGTATCTGTTGTAAGCTTATTTGTTCATTTCATAAGTAAAGGGAGAGATAAAAGAATATCGAGCTATCCACATTTTTTAGTAAATTGAGCAAGGCAAATCGTGTGGACTGCCAATAAATCACTTATTTAGTGTTTATGCGACTTATTTTCAAATGATTGTTGTGGATAAGAGAAGAATGAGACATTTTTCTTATGTTATTACATAGTTACAACAATTATTCGAAAATGAATCTCATGTCACCCTTAAAATGTTTTTTTTTTTTCGAAGTTACAAAATTTTTTCTTCAAGTTAGTACACTGTTATGTATGACGTAAAACATAGAAAATGAAGCTAATACTAAATGAAAAGGTTTTGTATCATTCAGAACATAATGAAATGGAATTGTAGTTTCAGCATTTTTTTTCAGAAACTGGTCGAATGGACCGAACAGCGTAATGGTGCTAAAATCATTTCATTTGATCATCTAAGCGATGAATATCTTTTATGCGCTGTGCTGTCATCAGGTGCGGTATTGATTGTGGATTACGAGAATGAAACGGTTGGTTATTTACCAGTAATTTTCTTGCTTATCTTTATTTGAAGAGAGAGTACTTTTATTAGCATCTTAAATTTTCGACTTTTAATTTCAGAATTATCGCAGATTTTAACAGACATGTCGACGCTTCATATTTTTTGTTTTTGTTTTTCTCTTTTTTTATTTTTTGTTCTTTGGATGACAATAAAATAGATCTTTTTAATATTCAAGATTGTTTATGGCTGATATTTGGGGAAACAATGATCATTTTAGGTTGAGCGATGTGACATAGTGCCAACTGAAATCTGTTCTGCAAGATGGGCTCCCGACTTTCATGTTTTGTTGCTTGCATCATCGGAAGTGCTGTACTTTGTTACACGTCAGTTTGATATTTTAAATGAGCAACCGCTGAATTCATCAAAGCCTGGCCGAGGTAATTTAATGTCTCATTTTTTTCATGAAATTTTAACATGATACTTATTGAAAGTTAACATGATATGTATTGAAAGTTACCATTGATACTCATTGAAACTTAGCGTTTATAAAATTTTTGCTCGAATTTGAATTTGAAAGAAAAATTCGGACACAACAAATCTTTGCATATGCTTCATGCATATATATCATTCATAAAAGCTCATTAGTAATGGCATTACTAGGAAGTACTTATATATGTGTAATGATTGTGAGTGCAGTGTTACTTGTAGAAGAACTGATGACAATTGGCTGGGGTTCTAGAGAAACGCAATTTCAAGGCATCGGAGGAAGGAGAAACAGGAAGGTATGATTTTTATTAACAAAACATAAATGTTTGTTAAATTTCTGACTTTGTAATATTTCATCATGAAATTCCAGAGGTTTGTTAATTTAGATTCCTAATATTTCATCATGAAATCCCAAGGGTTTGTTAATTTAGATTCTTTTGGTGTAAACTATTTAAGAGAAATTTAGGTTGATGATGAGCAGCCCACTACTGTGAGTGAATATGATCAGCGTAGGGTGTTGCTAGCATGGAATGGTGATGCTAACTATGTGGTCGTTAGTTATGTGGATAACGAAACCAGTTTCCGGCGATCTTGTGTTTTTGATCATGAAGGCGAACTTATTAGTCAACTACAGCCAGTTAGTAATGTTGAAGAAACACTGGCTTACAGGTGCAGATTATTTCCATTTTTAAAATTAGCACTGTAATTTACTTTGCTTTACATTTTTCATATTATGCACCAACCTTTTTTTGACTTTTGATCGCTTTATTTTAGTCTTTTTACTTTGTATTTACCAGTATTAATATGCGAATTAGAATATTCGAAGTAATAACGCGATGTTCCACGTATAAAAATAGTAATGAGATGAGTTAAGTAATATGAGAGTTTATAGTTCATGTTTATTTGCTGGTAATACTAGCTTGAGATTTTGTTTAATAGCTGACACATAATTCTGTAAGATACAACGCAGTTTTCTATTCAGACCCACGGGAAACCTTATTGCAACAAGTCGATGTGATGGTGATAAACGTGAAATAATTTTTTATGAACGTAACGGACAAAGGAGATCAAAATTTGGATATGAATTACATCACGGAACTGCAATTGATTGGATGGGTTGGAATGCTGATGGAAATATTCTTTGTGTGCAGTCCAAAGATTTGGTGGGAACCGCCCAAGAAGGTGTAATACTGTCATGAGAAAATTATGGTTTTTGTTTTGTTAATGAATATTTTTGAATAAGACTTTTACTTCAGTAAGTTTTTGGTGCGTCAGTAATTATGACTGGATGCTCAAATATCGCATACCGGTTGATGATGGATTTTTATTGGCATGTTGGCACGAAAGTAATCCTAATCAATTTTGCTATGTTACACAGAGTGGTCGTGCCACTTTTATTGACTTCGATTTCATTTATGATTTTTGCGATGATATTGTTTTGTCGATAACAGGATGTAAGTTATTTATTTTGAAATATGTTATCCAGAAATAATGTCATTTCTAAAACGACAGGTGAAGGAAGGAAATGATATAATAAATTTATTGATTTGTAATTTTGTAAGTCACTTTCTTTTACTCCTGCTATTTGAAGTCACTATTCATTGTATCAAGCTGAAGTCAATGTCGTATCAAAATATGCTCAGATTTAGCCTCCATGCACAGGTAGCCTCCTGGAAGGCGTACACTAAAATATACAGTGAACTACCTTTTCATTATTAGATGAAGTGACTGAGCAAATTATTTCTTTATGAAATTTCTCAATGTGCTTTATGGATTAATTTCCAGATAATATACGTGTAACTGACCTGAAAGCAGCGCCAATTCCACCACCAATGTGCCACTATGAACTCACTTTTCCGAACGTTGTTTGTGAAGTTGCACAGTATAATGGCAATGCAGCTTTTCTGCTTGCGGACCATTCACTTTTTTTATGTACGATTACGTTCAAATTTTTGAAGTAGCTGAATGTAACTAACTTCTAATTCAAGTGTCTATTCTATTACAAGATGCAAACAAAAAACACTCGGATTTAGTTTTCATGAGCAGTTCGTGAACAGTTTTGTAATATTTAACTATATTAATTATATTAGCAAAACTAAAATTTTATTAATAACTTACCAAAGCAAACGTTGATATTGATATTATTATAGCGTCGTCAGCTTGACGAAAGTGAAAGGGGCAGCACACATTTCTATTTGTACAAGTTCAGCATTAACATGCTGTAGTACTTAGTTTTAAAATTATTATTTTACAGATAAGTTGCGAGAAAGAAAATTTGAAAAATATGCTGAATATGATACTACCGATTTACCGAAAGACTGCACATGTTATAATCTTTGTTTGGATGATTCTAGTCAACTTTCTGCCATTGTTGCCTCTTCGCATTACAGTTTATATAGTTTAAGTTTAAAAAATATGAGTCGTAAAGAGAGGTAATTGCTTTACGAATAATATGGGTGCCTGATATTCTAAATCGAGATTTATGAAACGTGTTTTGGAAAATAGAATTGCTTAACATCTTTGCTACAGCGTCTATATTATTCCAATGTGATTCTGTACTGATTAGGGTGATTATTTTATCCAGTTCATTGAATGAGATACATTCCATTTTCTTAGGTTTGCTTGGTTAAAGTTTTCGAAATTTTTTGATATCAGAAAGACTATATTCTATTGACTCTGAAATACCAAAGATGCATCCCATTTCCGCTTCATTTCAGTCTCTGTTTGTATTCTATGGAGAAACCATTCATTTGGCACAGTCATATTACCGGTGGTTTTGTACTGCAAGGAATTGATGGAGAATGGTTTTCAATAAAGGAAGACAAGGATAAGAATTATTGTCTAGAAACAGAAAAGCTTTTCGAAACGAGATCAATACTGCATAATTGTTATTACTTGCCGACTAAAGTATATTACTTTAAAAAATTTTTAAGATAGCATGTATTTATCTTTTGCAATTGTTTTCACGTTGTTTGGACAATAACTTTTGATATTTTTCAGAGTCTTCATTTTTTTACAAATCGAAAGCGACTGATTCTGCCACTTTTACATTATACCTATAGTGGTTATCAGCGATTATCATGCGCTATAGTATTTAAATTTGATCAGAAAATGCCAGTTAAATTGTACACGGAAGAAAATACTTGATTTTAAGGATAGTATTTTTGGTATCGGCAAAACAAATGATTTGGTTGTGAATGGCCGATCGATTTTGAAATATGTTGGATCATATGCAGTAGATGAGAAGTATTTGTTGGCTGTAACATTTGTTTCACATTCAAATTCATCGAAGTTACAAATTGCTAGATTAAAAGATATTATAACAACCGACAAAGAAATAAGCTATAAAACCAGTCGAGCTGTTGAAAGAGGTTCAATGTTGATTGGACGTGAAGCTGATGGTACTCGGGTTTGGTTACAAATGCCTCGGGGTCAGAATCTAGTTTTTTTTCATTCTTGTGATCTGTAGAAAAATAATTTTCTTCAAAGATTGTCTTATATATGTTTGTTCTTTTACATCTCTGCAAAAATTTGAAATTTCTGACTAAATTTACATTATCAAAAGCATTTTTTTTGCATTTCACTTGAGCTATTTCAGGTAATTTGGAAACGATACATCTAAAAGAATTGCTGTTGAATAAATTGAAAGAATTGTTAAATGACATGTATTTCAAGGATGCGGCTCTTATCATGAAGAATCATCGTATTGACATGAATCTCTTTTACGATCATAATCCGGAGGCGAGTTATTGCGAAAAGTCATGAATTATAAGTTGAAGTATCTTTTTGAAAGGCGAACCCATTGTTAAACAATGCCATTCAAAATAAGCTCATGTTTGCACAACTGCATTTATGAGGAAGTGTTGAAGAGTTTTCGTGTCAATGTAGAATTTGAAGCACAGAATAACCAGAATTCTTAAGGTTTCTTGTTTTAGTCAATTTCTGTGATACTCGAAATTCTTACTTGATTTATTTTTCTAATTTTAGTTTTTCATGAAGCACATCGGTCAATTTGTCGAAAACATAGGTTCTGCTGAATTACTAAATTTGTTTGTGGCAAGCTTAAATAACGATGATGTCACAACGGGTATTTATTCGGACAACTATAGCAACAATAACCATACAAAGCATGATAAAAGGACAATAAGAAGTGACAAAACTAAGGTTGAATTGCCAAATTCTGAAGTTTAAGGATAAAGCAGAATTTTTCTGTGTCTTTCAAGAAGTTTAAGGATAAAGCAGTGATGTTATTCTGTCGGTATTATTTAGTTAAAAAATAATACCAGGTTATGTTTGGTTTTCTCATCTACAGCGATTATCTTGCTAGCCTGTTTCACTTATACTAGTGGTTATAGACTCAATCAACTATCAGATAAAGAAATCAAGAATGTAGGTCAGTGAGAATAAAATGCTTTTACTTTTTTGTATTTACATATTCACTTTTCTATTTATTAAGGTCCAAAATGTTTGTACCGCCATTCGAGAATATATTTTGAAAGGCGATGATATTCTTATTACTGATTTGTACACTAGCGTTATATCGACATATTTGAAAGAACAACCTCCGCAGGTTTCGAAAGCTCTATCAGCATTACGGGAGCAATCTTTAAAACGTAAAAAAAAATTTTACATTTCTAGAAAACTCCAAAACTGACTTGGAAAAATTGATTATTATGGGATTAATTGCTAAAAGATATAACCCAGTGACACTTCTATCTATTTTCTGTTTATCTCAGCAGAGGATTAAAAGTTATTTCTATTTATTGTTTTGTTATTTTATTTAAAACCATTTCGAAACTTAAGCAAGTTAGAAAGGCTATTTGTATTTATATTCTTTCGTTTTGTATTTATGATGTCGCAGTCAAAGGTTAGTGTAAAGTTTTTCAGTACCTGATGGGACGAAATTGGAGAAAAGATGGATTGCTTATGTATCTTTGCTTGCTCCCAATGAAAATCTGTTCAATGTCGCATTATCAACCTATGATTTAAGTTTAGCACTTGCTGTGGCACAAAATTCTCAGATGGTAAAGTTTTATATCTAAATGATGTCCACTGCTGTTAAGTAAGCTCCACTGTTGCAGGTTATTGTGTCTCTAATTTACTTTCATTAGGTGCTAAACGCAGAATGCCTATGCTGGCACAAATTAGTTCTATCTTGCTTACTAGTTTTTCATCATGTATATTGATTGTATTTATAGAAAAGAGTCTAAAAAGCAGATTTGTTCATAATATTTTTTAGGACCCGAAGGAATATTTACTGTTGCTAGCGGACTTTCAAGCTCAATCTCCTCCTGCATATCAAAAATCTAAAATCGACATATATTTGGGAATGTTCAAGCAAGCTATTCAGAATCTGTCAGAATTGGATGATCGCTGGAATGAGGCAGTTGAAATTATTAAACGACAGAATTTATATGCAGAAGCTCTGACAATATACCGTGGGAAGAAAACCTATCTGGCATGTATTTTAAAATTTTATTTTGTCAGGATCTTTCACAAAAACTGGTAATTTGTGATGTCATCAAAACAAAAAAAAGATAGGCATTGAAAAGTTCAATGGTCTGCTGAAGAGTCGTGGCTGATACATTCTAGAATATTTTGCTGTCATCTATCTTTCATTTTGAACTCGAATGAATTCTGGTGTAATCCAAACTAAAAGAAGTTAGATTCATTATTTTGGCTCTTTGACCACCTTTTAACGGGAGTTTTTAACCGTTTTATAAAATGAAATCATATTAATTAACTCATTCAATGCAGGAATAAGAATTAACTAGTAATTTAGAAAGTTTGCGAGTTATGCGCCAATCACTTGATGGATAAACGACGTTTTGAAGAAGCTGCATTGTTGTTTAAACGCGCAAATAATATAACCATGGCACTGCAGTGCTATCAGAGTGCTCAAAACTGGAAAAGAGTTATTGAGTGTGGAAAAATCATGGATATGGAGAGAGAAATGTTAAACGATTTACTTCAAAAGATGATCCCACATTTTGAAAGCAAAGGGAAATTTACGGATATCGCTGAAATCTTATCGTTCATTGATAAAAAGGTATGATGAAGCGATTCGCTTGGCAATATTGCATAATAATCATTACTGCTATAGATTTCATTTGATAAAGAATGATATGATTTGCGGTATTGCTGTTTGGTCTCATATTACAATTAACTGCCTTGCTTCTCAGAAAACGAACAAGTCGTTTTGTAATAGAATTCATTCAATTTGCCTTTATAAATTAATATGAACAAGGACAAAAATGTAAAATGAAATTTATATCAGTATCGTATTGAGCCTTTAAATAATAAAAATTTAAATGATTCTTTTCCAGTCTAACGAAGTGCAGATAACGGAATATTACTGTAAAGGGGATGCTTGGGATTTTGCAATGAATTTTGCTTTCGGGAATGACGGTAACTTTTTTTCAAAATACTATACGAATATATAAAGCAAGAGAATATTTTGATATTAGCCTTGTTTCCTTGCAGAACTGGTAGAAACTGTTTCTAAAGCAGCTTCCGCTCGTTGCGAACAAATTTTACAAAGTATAGAAAATTGGAAGAATTTATTGGAACAATATTGCTGTCGTTTGGAAATAGTACGACAAAATAAAAACAATTCTTTGAAAGCAGCAATTAAACGATTTGAAGAACAGGATTTGCCAAAGTCGGAAGTAGGTTTTTTATTTATCATGCAATAACTAGAATCATTTCTACTGACGCATTGATACCGTTATTGTGTCCATATTTATTTAATATTTTTACGGTCAAATAATAGTGTTTTTTTTTTGAAGTACCATTGAAGTGTTTCGATCTTAAACTTTAAAAAATTCAAAGTACAAAATCACAAATAATGGAATTTTTTTAGGTTTTTAGTGAAATGTCTAGTACAATGAGTAATATGTCGAAGATTTCAGCAGCTTCTACTGCTTCAGCTCGTCGCCGAAAATATGTTGAAAAGTGAGTTTTGATTGGTTGATAACTGAATAGGAGAAGATATTTCGTGCAACTTTCTACACATTTTGTACACATAAAAGAGATGTAGAGAAGTCATTCTGTTAGAAAAAAATTAATTCACTCTTCTTCTCGTGATAAGATCGAACCCCAGCCATTCAATTTTCATCTAGTGCAAGTCTATATTTTTCTTTAATTTGGCTAAGTTGAAAAATTAACTTTCCAATAATCTGTCTAGTTAAAAGTACTTTTTGTAATCCTGATATTCACATCATGATCACAGTGCTGTAATCAGAACCATGTTTGATCAGCAATGGATCATTTGAGTTTTATGATCTCAAAACGCTTTTTTTGTCATTATTATTAATACGATAAATAGTGAGATGAAATATGACATATGATATCTAATATCACTTATTGAATTTTTCTCATGTTGTTGCAGAAAGAAAAAAGT